TTATATATATATATATATATATATATATATATATATATATATATATATATATAACATATAGCGTGTTTCTCCGAAAATCATTCCAAAATACGCCGTAGGGGCATTTTCAGGGGAGGACATAATATGATCCTCTCCTGAAAATAAGACCTAGTTCGGCTTAGCCGCAGAAAGCACCAGTATCGGCGCTGCCTGCAGCCGCGCCAAGTCTTGGCTGAAGTGTCGAATCCACCCTCATCTTCTGCTGCCCATTGCCTGGGCTCTTTGTCGCTCAGCACGTCGACGGGAAGCGTTGGTCGGCCGTACCGAGCTTCGAGACTTATCTCTGTGTTGTTGCTTGACGCTTGGTCTTCCTGCATGGTAAAAGACAGAATGGGTGGTAAAAGAAAGATCTATTCTGTGGAGTATAAGGAAGGAATTGTGTAGGATTCCCAGGGCAAGAACTTTACAGCTTTCTGCAAAGAAAAGAAGTTTGATGGCCGATTGGTCCGAAAATGGCAAGCACAGTACCATAACCTCAGTGAGCAAATGGACAAGGGAAATGCTACCATGTTTCCCCGAAAATAAGATATCCCCAGAAAATAAGCCCCAGCACTTTTTTTGGAAGGAGGAGAGAAATAATATGTGACTCTAGTTTCTTGGGGAAAGACGGCATATATATATAGTTTTATTTCTTTACTTTTCTTCTGTTTAATAAACATTATAAAAATGAGGCTAAAAGAGAACAAAATGGTACACAAGAGAAAACCTAACGATCAAATGAATCAAGCTGTCTAGTAGAATTCTTTTGTTTGAAGAGTTATATGTAATTTGCTTTCGAACTACAATCAAGGTTACATTGATGAACTAATAGCCATTATTAACATTTCAGAAAAAGACTAACACCACAAGCTGTAAAGATTCGAGCTGACATTGAAGTTTCGTGCTTCGCATACGATGGAATAGATGCTGTGAAAGATGCCTTGGTCGAAGGACAAAAATGCTCAACTCCCGAAATGCCAATCAAGGTGATCAATAGTAGTTAACTATTCAGAAAATATTTGCATAAATTTTCGGTTACTGCACTAATTGGAAATTGTTAGGACTAGATTAGCGCCAAAATTTATAATTAAGAGATTTTCATACTTTTTTTTCAGACTTTTAAGTTGACGAGAGACAATCTTATTCCTTGTATTTGTTAAGAGTTATTTTCTTTGTAGATCAATCTTATAGCAGCACCACTTTTTGTTGTTACAACACAAACACTGGAAAGAAGTGAAGGTTTGGAAGCAATTGATACAGCTCTTAGTTTAATCAAAAAAACTATCGAAAATTATCAAGGAAGCTTCAAGGTCGTCATGGCTGTAAGTTAATTTTAAATTTGTAGAAGTTTGTTTAATTTCAGTGGTAGTTCACTGATTCAAAATAAAACTCTGTTGTTTAGAGATATTTTGATGAGTTTTATGTCATCCTTTAATGGTAATTAATTCAAAATGAATCATATACACTTTGACTGACTTTTTGGGATCCATTAACTGATCAATTTATGGGACTGTTATAACATGCTGACTGAGACGTCTGGTTTTCCGAAGTTCAACTCCATCGTATCAGACTGCATTCACTTCCTATCAGAAGTCCGTGACAATGCACTTTTGTCTCCATTTGATTAAATGTGTGAAATTTCAGCCGAAAGTAGTAACTGATTTGGACGAAGAAGAAATCAGGAAGCGAATGGAAATGATGGAAACTCTTGTTGAAGGGTTGAGTGGTGAGGAGGGTAGTGATGATGATGGTTTGGTGGCACCGAAAGGGTTAGATCAGCAAGCGGATGCTGAGGAAGCAACTCGGAGAGACAGAAGCGATAATGATTCTGATGAACTTGATGAGTGATAAAAATTTTTTCTGTAATCTTGAACTAAGAAAGAATATGTAATTTTATACGACGAAAAGGAAAAAGATTATAAAAAGATTCCTGAGACTTCGTTTTTTCAATAATGAAAGTGGAAGATTTCGAGTGGAGACAAAGGACAGCACGCTATAAAGATTTTAGATTTCTTCTGAAACTTTTGGAGTGTTCTTGTTTCTTCTAACTTTTTGAAAATTGGTAAACGTCTGCTTCCCTGGTTTGTTTTAGCAATTAAGTGGAATTTACAAGTAATATTTTTGCTACGCTGACGTTCACGTTTGTTGACATTTTTCCCCTTCCTTACACCCGCTTTTGTTCGTTGTTTTAGGTTTCTGTTATTATCATTTCCTCATATGTGTAAACTTTATAAAAGTCAAATGGTTTACATTTTTCTTATGTTTGCATATGAAGATTTGTTTAGAACTGCATATATAAAGAGATAATTTGGCGAGACTAATTCCACATGACGAAAGCTTGATATTGAAATTGACAATAAAAAGAACATATATTTGTTGTTGGTAGTTGCAATATGTGTTGTATGCACTCTCTCTCTCTCTCTCTCTCTCCTTTCTTCTCTCTNATATAANAA